AGCGGCCAGAGGCCAGGCGGGCCAGAGGCAGCCGCACCGCCGCCCCGAGCTCCCCGCAGGTATGCTTCCTTTTCTTTCTTTTTGTTTTATTTTTTTCCTTTTTGATTCATTGTTGGCACTCATAATTTATTGTTTGTTGTATTGTGTAGATGGAGGTGAACAACAACGACATGGACTCGTTGTCCGATTCGTCGGGTTGGTCATCATCGGACGATTCGGACATCGACAAGTTGTTGCAAGACGACGACGTCGAAATGATGAGCCTCCTCATCGACGTGCAATCCTTTGAAAACCGCGTGAAGCTGATGCATCAGAGGAGAGGGTCGAAGATGGGGCGAGTCACCATCTACCGGAACCGCGCTCTCGGACACGAGCATTTGATGGAAGACTACTTCGCGGAGGTACCTACATACCCTCCTCGTCTCTTCCGCAGAAGGTACCGAATGCGGCGTAGTTTGTTTGTGAAGATTGTCACCGATTTTGAGGCTGCCTCCTATTACTTTAAACGTCGTAGATCCGCCGCCGGTATCATGGGGTTTAGTGCATATCAAAAGATATCGGCAGCAATGCGGGTACTCGCTTATGGCATACCCGCGGATTATACCGACGAGTATCTTCGCATTGGGCAAGATACAACCACGGAGTCAGTCCGTAGGTTTGCCAAGTTGGTCATTCGGTTGTACGGTGAGCAGTATCTTCGGGCACCAAACGAGGAAGATACAAAAAGATTAATGGAAATGAATGAAAAAAGGGGATGGCCGGGGATGCTAGGTAGTCTTGACTGCATGCATTGGAGGTGGAAAAATTGCCCAAAGGCATGGCACGGAATGTATTGCGGTAAAAGCCGTGATGCTACCATTGTGCTTGAGGCCGTAGCATCTCAGGACACATGGATTTGGCATGCATTCTTTGGGTTGCCGGGAACACTCAATGATATCAATATCCTCAATAGATCTCCTTTGTTCAAAAGATTAATTTCTGGGGATGCTCCAGCTTGCAACTACAAAATCATGGATAATGAGTACTCAATGGGATACTATCTCACCGATGGCATCTATCCCGAATGGGCAACTCTTGTGAAGTCCATCAAGGAGAAAAATGGGGTGCCCTTAACAAGAAAAGAGGCTCATTTCACCAAGGCACAAGAGGCAGCCCGCAAGGATATTGAGAGAGCTTTTGGTGTTTTGCAAGCAAGGTTTGCCATAGTTCGTGGTCCAGCTCGGTTTGTGGACAAAAAAACCTTGATGAACATCATGAAATGTTGTGTGATTCTACACAACATGATCCTAGAGGATGAAAGAGGGTTAAACCTCCCTTGTTTCTATGACAATGTTGGTACCCGTGTGCAACCGGAAAGAAACCCTTCTCGCATACACGCTTTTCTTCAAGCACATCGTGAGATTGAGGATGCAACCACTCATGGTCGGCTCCGGGATGATCTAATAGAGCACCACTGGCAGTTGGATGGGCGGCGCATTGGCCCATGATGTATCTTTGTTTTACTTTTCTATGTCCTATTTGATTCGAACAATTAGTGTAATTTGCTCAAACATTGTTGTAATAATTTGAATGATTATTGTTTTATTCGGTGTTGTAATAATAACTAGAATGATTATTGTTTTATGTCAAATGTGATGGAATTTGTGATATGTCATATGATGAAATGTGATGAAATGTGTGATATATGAAATGAGAGTTTTAAAGGTTGGGGTTGAGGCAAAGACTAGAACCCTCAAATCCAACCCTTAAAGCAGTTTAAAGGTTGGGTTTGAGGGTTCTAGTCTTTGCCCCTGTTTTTCAACCCTTAAAAGTGTCAAAAAGTGGCACTTCTCAACCCTTAAAACTGCTATGAGGGTTTGAGGGTTTAGGGGTTCTACTAGTAATGCTCTAAAGGCTTAACGGGCCGATCGGGTCGAAATAGCCGCCCGTAACGCGATATTTTTTTGAGAGAGAGAAACAGAGGAACTGGAAAGATGTCAGGTAACTGGCGTTGGATGAAAGATGGGTGGACATATCAGCTTCTTCAACCATTAAACGGTTTCACTGTTCATCTTCTACCTCATAACCACCGATTTACCACTGGCCTAACCGTCTGCTGCTGCAGCCGCCCACGACAGGCAGCGCTATCGCGCCAGCCTCGCTGCCCCGCCCTTCCCCAATTGCCACCCACCATCGTGCTATCGTCGTCCCCAGCCATGAACAATTTTTCCAGAAAATTTGCACCACCCCCACACTCTAAGATAGATAATGGGGTCGCCCGCCACCCTAAGATACATAATAGGGTCACCTGCCACCCTAAGATAGACCCAGAGTGCTTCTTCGGCGAGCCGACGACTCCTTCCCTTCTTCCGGCAGATGCTTCCTTCCTTTCAAAATCAACTAACCTAAAAACTTTTTTCAGGCGACTTGCATATGGCTATTGTGAGAAACAGAATGTTTGTAGTGTTGGAGATAAATTCAGAGGTAAGGGCATCTCTAACACAGACCCATAAAAACAGACAGCACATCTATCTGCGGACCGGTCTGAACAGGTGACTAGACACTAATATGGAGCCAACCATTCAAAGCTAGGCGCAAACGTCCAGTCATATTTCAAATGGAATTTAACCAAAAGAAACAAATGTGATGCAAATTTAAACAAATGAGACAATTTTCATTTAAACTTACATACTCCCTTCGTCCGGTAAAGAGTATATGTTTGGCTTCAAAATTTGTCCACGAAAAAGTGTACTTCTATCTTTCCAATGCATTTTAAAGTAGAAAAAAAATACTTCTCTCTCATCACATGATAATCAAGACCAATAACAATCTACACATGGTCTTTTCAAATTCTACATGCACTTAGCTCATTGAGGGTTGGTTAATTAAAGAGGATAGAGATGGTGGCTTGCACTTTTTCAATGCATTTTTTACTTCACTCCATAATTTGTCCTAAAATCTCTAGATGTACACTCTTCACGGACGGAGGGAGTAACTTTTACATAAAAATCGGACGATATTTCATCTGGTAAACTAAAACTAAAAAAAACTAAACTACCCTATACTTGATGGTGACATCTTACTCGTGTTGGACTGTCAGCGGCACCTCCATCAACGGAGTCGGGCTTCCAACGGCGAAAAGGGCGAGGGGTCACGCAGGACTTCCCTATGTCGCGGGTAGTGCAGCAGCGGCCACCGTGAATGTGGGCGGGGGTAGAGACAAGCGACGAGAGTTGTCGGCTTTAGCATCTCCTCTGCGACGAAGACGACACTTGCTAGTCTCCACCATGGTCTTCCACCGGTTGATGACCTAGGCCGTTGCAAGCTTCGGGTCCTTGAGAATTTGCGAAGGTGGGACATTGGAATCCGTGAACTCTGCCTGGTGCGTAGCGTTGCGCCTGTTCCGCCACTACCGCTCCTTGTCTGTGATACGTCTCCGTCGTATCTACTTTTCCAAACACTTTTGCCCTTATTTTGGACTCTAACTTACATGATTTGGATGGAACTAATCCGGACTGGCGCTGTTTTCAGCAGAATTGCCATGGTGTTATTTTTGTGCAGAAATAAAAGTTCTCGGAATGACCTGAAAATCAACGGAGAATTATTTTGGAATATATAAAAAATACTGGAAGGAAGATCCACGTCAGGGGGGCCTCCACCTGTCCATGAGGGTGGGGGCGCGCCCTACCCCCCTGGGCGCGCCCCTGCCTCGTGGGCCCCCTGACGCTCCATCGACCTCAACCCTGACTCCATATATTCACTTTCGAGGGGAAAAAATCAAAGAGAAGGATTCATCGCGTTTTACGATATGGAGCCGCCGCCAATGTGACGCCCGGATAATCAAGCTATAGTAAACCTCTGCTAATGTTGTCACGTCACCACGATTACTGTTGATAATCTCGCGATGATTCAAAACTCTTTCAAATTCAAATTTGAAATAAAGTCAAACTAGAAAAGTTTTCAAAAGTCAAAACTAATATGTTCTAAATGTAGCAAGTAATTCATAATAAATATTGGTGGAGAAGACACACTGTTATAAAGTAGTTAAATGCACTAAA